ACATTTTTCCAAAGAAAACATACAGATGGCCATCTGACACATGAAAAGGTGTTCAACATCAATAATCCTCAGGGAAATGCAAATCAAAACCACAGTGAAATATCACCTAACATCTATCAAAATGACTAAAATCAAAAACACAAGAAACAACAAGTATTGGCAAGAATGTGGAGAAAAAGGAACTCTCGTGTAACTGTTAGTGTGAATGTAAATTAGTGCAACCACTGTGGAAAACAGTATGGAGGTTCCTCGAAAAATTAAAAATAAATATACTATAGGATTCAATAATTCCACTACCAGGTATTTAAAAAAAATGAAAACACTAATTCAAAAAAAAAAAAAAAAAAACAAAACATATGCACCCCTCTGTTTATTGCATCATTATTTACAATAACCAAGATATGGAAGCAACTTAAGTGTCCATCGATAGATGAATAAAGAAGACACTGTGTGTGTGTGTGTGTGTGTGTGTGTGTGTGTGTGTTTGCGTGTAATGGAAGATTAGTCGCCATAAAGAAGAATGAGATCTTGTCATTTGAGACAACATAGATGGACCTAGACAGGTTTTATGCTAAGTGAAGTAAGTTATACAGAGAAACCCAAATATCATATGATTTGAATGATATGCAGAATCTTAAATACACACACACACGAATGAATAAACAAGCAAAAAGCAGAATCATACCTATAAATACAGAGAACACACTGATGGTTGCCAGAGGGGAGGAAGTGGAGGAATGGGCAAAATGGGTGGAGGGGAGTGGGAGATACAGGCTTCCAGTATGGAATAAGTCAGGAGAATAAAAAGTACATCGTAGGGAATATAGTCAGTGGCATTGTAACGGGATTGCATGGTGACAGATGGTAGCTACAGTTGTGGGCAGCATAGTATAATGTATAGACTTGTTGAATCACTATCTTATATAGCTGAAATTAATGTAACATTGTGTGTCAGCTCTCCTGAAAAAAATATAGATCAAAACCAAAATGTATGAGTGCGTTCATATCCTAAACCCCTTTGGCAATCGGAGGTCATGTAAAATACACCTCAATTCCAAGTTATGTCAACATCTTGTTTCCAGGAAATTGTTAAATTTTATCTCAATTGACAGAAATGCATATTAAAAAAACAACAGTTAACACTGCTGCATGGCATATAGGAAATTAAATACTAAATACTAAATATTAAGTAAATACGGAATCTTCATCACAAAAAACAACCTTCTTTTTTCCTTTTTTTAATTGTATCTACATGAGAAAATGGACTTTAGCTGAATCTTTTGTGGGAATTATTTCACAATACATAGAAATCAAGCCACTATACACCTTAAGTCTACAGTGATGTTTCTCAATTATTACTCAATAAGACGCGAAAAAAAGAAACAGAGATCTGAAAATATTTTATATACACACTACAACTGACTGTAAAATTTTGCCACTAAACTAATGTGAAAATAAAACAGAAGACAAAAGAAAGAGCTTCCATGTGGCAGTATAAATTTCTGTTACCACTCTTCAAATATTTAAGCCTTTGAAGAAAACTCTGTAAAACGACTGAAGTGCCATTAGAATGCATGGAACTTGCTAGAAAGTCCTTTAAATTTCTAAAGGACTAAAATTTTTTAGACTGCATCTTTTTCAGACTAATAAATCAATAGTTAAAGAGAAAATTAGGAAGCTAAATATTCCGATTTAGAGCTTTTACTGAATTGCAATGGTCAAAAAGGTTTGCAAACAACAAGATGCTTAAATGTATCACCACAAAAGTGAAGAAAGGGAAAATCTAAGTGGCCTTGAATTTGGCGATAGGTTTTTAGATACAATATCAAAAGCACATTCCATGAGAGAAAAACTTAAGTTGGGCTTTATTAAAACTAAAAATATACATGCTGTAAAAGAAACTTTTAAAAGAATAGAAAGACAAGCTATTGACTGGAATAAACTATTAAAAAAAAAAAAACCACATACCTGACAAAGGTCTTGTATGCAAAATACAGAGAAGGATTTAAAGACTCAACAATAAAAGTATTAATAGGCAAAATATCTGAATACCTTACCATAAAGGACATACAAATGGCAAATCATATGAAAATATGCTGAAAATCATTTATCATTAGAAAACTGAAAATTAAAACAAGAAAAGATAGGACTACACAACATTACAATGACTAAAATCCAAAAATGTAATAGTAATAGCTGGCATGGATGCAGAGAAACAGGGACTCCCATTCACTGATGATGGGAAAGCAAAAGGTTTTGGAAGATAGTTTGGCAATTTCTTACAATGTTATACATACACTTAACCTACAATCTAGCAGTCATACCCCTAGGCAAGTTACCCAACTTACCGAAAACTTATATTCACAGAAACCCTGCAGGCTTCAGGTTTCTGATTCTACATATAAGGAGTTTGGAAGTCACCACCCCATACTAACAAGAAAAAAGCTGAACAGACTTCAAAAACCAACAACTCCTCTTAAATCCATAAAAGAGGACACGGCACAAACCACCGCCCCCAAGATTGGAGAGAGTCACCCAAGTGCATACAGGTATCAGTACTTACCTGAGCAGAGACTCAGCAGCAGAAGATGCGAAGGGAGCCAGTGCTGGAGGAGGAAAACATGAACTGTAGCTGATTAAGTGCTAGAGGCTCAGTGTGGACATCTCCAGACAGTTAAAAACTGGAAAATTCATTTTCGTGAATTTTACCTCTAAGAGCCCAACAAGATTCTCACAGTAAGTAGGAGAGAGGAATCCCCTCTGGCTTGCAGTGGCAGCAAGGGAAAAGGAACCATTTTGAAAAACGCCAGAGCACTCTGTTCTTAAGGAGGCCTGCCCTCAGAAGAAACAAATTAACCAGAAACTAATGTGCTGGTTGTTATCAGTCCCTCCCTAACTCACCTGGGAGAAGGTGAAAACCCAACCTCAGTCAAGTATAGCTTTCCATAAAGGAGGAGGAAAGTATCAACTCCAACCCACTTAGCCATCCTCAGCTGCCTAAGGAGAGAGGAAAAAAAGAGAGAAATACTTGTAAAGTTCACAGTCTAAGCTCACTAAAAAACAGAGATCTAATCATAGTAGGGCCAGAGAACACTTCCCTTTTCCCAATACCTTGACACCACATACTAAAAACCTATGTACAGCAGTTCCTTGTTCACGTCTGGCTATCAAGAAAAAAAAAATACAAGGCATTCTAAAATGTGGGGGAAAAATACAACAATTTGAAGGGACAGAGGAAGCCTCAAAGTGGGAATTATCATACCAGGACTTTTAAAAGAACATTAATATGCTAAGGGCCATAACGGATAGAGTAATTAACATTCAAAAACAGATGGGCAATATAACAAGAGAGAGAGAAGTCCTAAGGAAAAACCAAAAGGCAGTACTAGAGATCAAAAGCACTAACAAAAATGAAGATTGCCTTGATGGGATAATGAGTGGACTAGATGCAGCTGAGGAAAGAATCTCTGTGCTTGAGATAATTTCCATATAAACCTTCAAGACGGAGAAGCAAAGAGGACAAAGACTGAATTTAAAAAGAAAAGAAAAGAAAAGAAAAGAAAAGAAAAGAGAAGAGAAGAGAAGAGAAGAGAAGAGAAGAGAAGAGAAGAGAAAGAAAAGAAAAGAAAAGGAAAGGAAAGGAAAGGAAAGAAAAGAAAAAGAGAATATCTAAGGAGTGTGGGAGAACCACAAAAGGTAATATATATGTATGAGAATGCCAGGAGAAGAAAGAGAGAAAGGAGCAGAAGAAATATTTTCAATGATAATTACTGACAATTCCCCCCAAATTAATGTCAGACACCAAATCAGAGATGCAGGAAGCTCAGAGACATTAAGCAGAATAAATGCCAAAAGACTATATGCAGGCATGTCATAGAAACTATAGAAAATCAAAGACAAAGAAAGTATAGAAAAATCAAAGATAAAGTTCTGAAAAAAAAAAAAACTACATGCCAATAAACATGCCAGCTTTCCTCACAATTGTCAAAACCCAGAAGTGACCAAGATGTCCTTCAGGAGGTGTGAATAAACAACTATGGTATATCCAAACAAGGGGATGTTATTCAATGATAAAAATAAATGAGGTACTAAGTCACAGAAATATGTGGATGAATTATAAATGTATATTGGTCAGTGAGAGACGCTGGTCTGAAAAGAATAAATAATGAAAAATATGATGTTCTGGAAAAGGTGAAACTATAAAAATGATTTGAAAAAAAACAGTGATTGCCAGGTGTCTGGGGTCAGACAAGTGTTAAATAGAAGTACAGGGAATTTTTTTAAGGCAGTGAAATTATTCTGTATAATATTGTACTGATGGACATCTGATACTATTCATTTGTTAAAACCCATAGAAATTCATAGCACAAAGGGTGAACCATAATATCTGCAAATTAAAAAAAAATCATTTAAAATGTCAGGAGAATCCTGCAATGGCATGCAGTATGTGACCGATCGAACTTAGTACAAATGTATAAAACAATCTCACTTAAGGGGGTTTGGGGAAAAATAGGTGTTGACCTCAGTAATTCTGGAAATGAGAAGAGGCTGTAAACTGAAAGCCAAAATTAACCATAATAAGCACTATAAAAATTACTAAACAGATATTTTGTGGAGAAAAAAACTAACTCAGATAATATAGTTGCTTAAGTTAAAGCCCAGGGTCATTGATCTCCCCAGTCTAACCTAAGGCTCAATGAATCCCTGTGCATTGTCACATCTGTTGCCTTTGAAGTCTGTGAAACATCGGTGTCTCAAGCAGATGTTTAAGGCTTTTCTAAAGACTGCATACGCTGCTCTCGGGGACAAATTGCCCTAAAATGGGATTTGAAAAATGTCTTAAAACTGTGGAGGGTCTCTATGTTACTGCTTCCCTTGCCCAAGTTGCAGATCCTGGGAAGACTCAAAATGTGCACTTCTCATAGCTGATGTGTTCAAGCAGATGTGTTAGCTGCAGAAGTGCAGAGCAGACAGAAGTTGAAGAACCCTGCAGAGATTTGTTGGAACCCGGCTCCTATTTATTAAAACCAATGGTAAATGTAAAGCAAATAGGAGGTGACAGAGGTTGCGAACACATTCATTGCTTGTGTTTTCCCTGGTGCGCGCTGATAGTCAAGAGTCGGTTCCCTCTGTCATCCATTCCCTGCGCAGCATGAGTTAGAAATTTTATCAATAAATGTTTTCACTGTCAATGTTCAACCTATTCTAATAGACCGTTAAATACAGTTTTTGGGTTCACAGCTTGTCATCATCATTTGTCTACACCTGTGGCAAGGAATACGTAATGAAATACTCTCAGCATTTTTCATACATAGACTAAAATGATGAATGCTGTGTTTCACAGAATGATCAGATTCATAAAATTCAGAGACCCAACTGACATGCTGTGGATATTCAATGGTAGGTTTGGATTTTATTTTTTTCAAGGTTAATGATAAAGGGTTATAATTTAAATATTAGAAAGTCAAGTATGTGTCACGATGAAATGGGTAACCTGAATTAGCAATATGCACAATACAATTTATTTTTTGTCTTTATTCTATTTTATTTTATTTTAGAATTCATGTCATATGTATAGATTATTCATTAGTTTGGGTCCTTTCTATCAGAATAAAGTTAAAATTAAATAGAGCTATAATAAAAAGGACTATGTTTTAAAATCAAGATGAGCTTTCTCAATAGGCAAAGGGAAGGAAAGTGACTTTGACTCATCTTTAATTTTTTTACATACATGTAAGAAAATCATGTTGTTTTTACATGCCTCGGTATTAAAATCAGCATTATAAAATATGCTTTGCAATTCCTAATTTTCATAGTCGATGGTTGAGATGGAAGTAGCAATTACAGGAATTACATTGATATAGATTTATGGTACTCCAGATAAAAATCAAGTTTGGGCTGTGTGAGCTAAGAAAGCCTGTGCCAATACTGCTTATGGTCTGCTTCATGAGGACTTAGTGCATTTCCAAAATGTTTCATCACTAACATTGTCGATGCAATATTATGCATAGTTATGTCAATGCATAACTATGTCGATGCAAACCTCGATACCCTTCAATAGGTCACCCCTTCAATCAGTGCTTCAGATATTGGCAAACCATGATTTATGATCGATAAAAATTTTTAAATTATATAATTTTTAATCTAATAGTGTAATATCACACAAGATAGATAAAATTATGTTGTGATAATTTAAAATCACAAAATCTCATTGGTTTAACACAAACAAAATTTACTCCTTGCCAATTAAACATCTCTATTGTGGTACTGCAGGGACTTTCTGTTTATGATTGTCACTCAGATATCTAAGATGATAGAGACTCAATCTTAACATGTATTTCCACAATCATTAGAGTCAGGAGAAGACTAAATGGCAGGTCGCACCTAGATTTCAAAATTCTCCAACTGGAAATTCATATAATACTTCTGGTCACATTTTACTGGCCAAAGCAAGTCACATGACAATGATTAATTTAAGTTTTATTTATTTAACTAAGCTCTCCACCCAACATGGGGCTCAAACTCACGACCCCAAAATCAAGAGTTGCTCACTCTTCTGACAGAGCAAGCCAGGCACCCTGACAATACTTAATTTAAAGATAAGATACTGAGGGACGCCTGGGTGGCTCAGTCAGTTGAGTCTCCGACTTCCACTCAGGTCATGATCTCATGATTCGCGGGTTTGAGCCCCACATCCGGCTCTGTGCTGACACCTCAGAGCCTGGAGCCTGCTTCAGATCCTGTCGCTGTCTCTCTCTGCCCCTGCTCTATTCGCATTATGTCTCTCAAGAATAAATAAATGTTATTTATTTTTTTTTTTTTAAAGATCAGAATGAAAGAGGAAAAGGCCTGGAGTGATTGCCAACACTAATCATGACTGCTGCAGCTACTGAGGACTCCACCCCAGTGCACTTCATAGGCCTACCTAGGTTACATTTAGTCCAGCTATTAGCTTCAGCTGAGTGCCAAAAGGAAAGCTGAATCTCTTAAAAATCAAATATACCACATGGTAAAGATTGTGGCCAGCAAATTATCTAGGGCCGGGCAATGACTGTTCCTATAAATCAAGTTTTAATGGAGTCAGCTATGCCTATTCATTGATGTATTGTTTATGATTGCTTTTGTATTACAACAGAAGATTTATATAGTTGCAACAAATTATGTATGGCCTGCAAAGTCTAAAATACTTATTTTTGCATTTTAAAGAAAAAGTTTGCTGACTATTGATATAAGTGCATATATAACAGATGATATATATATTTTTTCTTTTTAGATTTTTTCTTTTAGTGGTGGGCCTTTGTTTCTGATGTGATATTGGACATGTGAAAATTCAGAGAGGTCCCCAAAGGAGTCTATGCTATTTATTAATGAGTGTGAAAAGGAGCAATCCACACTTACCACCAAAAATTCCTGTGAAATGATAAATATGAGCCCACAAATATAAAGCTAATGTGGTTTTGTAAGCATAGTATTTTTATATGTACATGGTGTATTTCTGATTTTTTTTTGAATTTATTTTGTTAAATTGTTTTCTTTTTTTGTCTGTTGTGACAAAATACACACAATGGAAAATCCACAATTCTCATCATTTCCAGCATCAAGCTGTACCTCAAGCACACCCACACTTCAGCGTAACCATCACCACCATCCTTTCCCAGAACCTCTCCATCCTCCTCAACTGAAATTCTGTACCCATTAAATACCAACTCCTCATTTTCCCCTCCCTGCAGCCCCTGGTAACTACTATCTCACCATCTGTCTGTCTGTCTCTATGAAACTCACCATCCTAGGCACTTCCACACAAGTGGAATCATCCAATACTTATCCTTCTGAGACTGGCCTACTTTCATCCAGTGTAACATCTGCAAGGTGCATCTAAACTGTAGCATATGCCAGGATTTCCTTCTCTTTCAGGTCTGAGCAATGGTCTAAAGTATGTGTAGGCTGCATTTTATCCTCTTAGTCCTCTTAGTGCATGCCTGGGTTGCTTCTACTCCTTGGCTGCTGTGATAAATACTGCCACGAACATGGCCATACCAGCATCTTTTCAAGTCCTCACTCCACCACTTATGGGTATATACCCAGAAGTGGAAATGCTGTATCCCAAGGTAATTACATGTGCAACTTCTGAGGAACACACGTACTTTCCTCCAGAGCCACTGCAAAATTTTATGTTCCCATCAGTAATGCACAAGGATTCCAACCTCTCCATATCTTTACCTACACCTGGTATTTTGTTTTGTTTGTTTTGTTTTGTTTATTTCGTTTTGTTTTGGGCGTGAAGTGGCATGCCATCATAGTCTTGATCCAAATTTCACCCAAGGCTAGTGATGTCTAACATGTTCTCTTGTGCTCAGGGGCTACTTCTATAATCTCCCTGGAGAAATGTCCACTCAAGTCCTTTATACTTTAATTGGGTTTCCTGTATGTTTATTGTTGAGATGTAGAAGATGTTTATATATCATGGATATCTAGCCCTTATAGGATATATAATTTGCCAATATTTTCTTCCACTCTGTCAATTACATTTCACCTTGATAGTATCCTCTGATGCACAAATGCTTTTAATTTTGATGCGGTCCAATTTATCTGTATTTTTCCCTTTTTGCCTATATTTGTTAATATGCTTACCCATCCTGGCATACCAGAAATAAATACCACTCAGTGATGGTGTAAGTATATAGAAAGCTTGTGAGAAAAGCTGTAAATATTTTTGAATTATAAAATTTCCAAATATTCACAAATTTTCAATATTTTCAACTATTCAGCAGAAAGGTCAGTTACTCTTAGGAATTCATTAACAAGCTTTAACAAAACATGTTTTTCCACATGTTTCAAAGCTATCCCCAAATATTTGTTCTTTAAACTGAACAATTTTAAAATTTGCATGAATTTCAAAAATAATAATAAAAATTTCTTACATAAATACAATATTTTCATATCATACATTTTATGATTTATGAATATTATATAATAATCCATAATCAATTTACACTATTCCTTATAAAAAATATTTCTTGTTACTTCAGGATAAAAAGCATGCAATCCAACATTCTGATTTTTTGTTATTCTATTCCACTAATAGTTTTTAAAAATGTATTCAAGGGGCGCCTGGGTGGCTCAGTCGGTTAAGCGTCCGACTTCAGCCAGGTCACGATCTCGCGTTCCGTGAGTTCGAGCCCCGCGTCGGGCTCTGGGCTGATGGCTCAGAGCCTGGAGCCTGTTTCCGATTCTGTGTCTCCCTCTCTCTCTGCCCCTCGCCCGTTCATGCTCTGTTTCTCTCTGTCCCAAAAATAAATAAACGTTGAAAAAAAATTAAAAAAAAATAAATAAAAATGTATTCAATTATTTTATAGTATACTCCATATTTTGAATTTTATGAATTGTTTCCTTATGGGATAGTTTAACTTTTTCCTTTGTTCTTCATATTTTCTGAATGTTTCTGAACAATAGATATAAAGGTTTGAATACATTAAGTTTCAAAACTGTTGGCAAGAATTTTGGAGTAGTTTTGGATGGTTGCATTGCATAACATGGGGAAACACGTAATGTTTGTCTCAAATCTAGTGATTCTAATAACGAATGAGTCCAAATTACCTGAAGCCTGGAGCTCTTACAACTGGAAGTCTCCTGTGTAACAAACAAACACATTAAAACATTTAAAATTACCAAAAAAATTACTAGTGTAAGTATTTAGTTAGAAATAATAAGGAAATGGGGCACCTGGGTGGCTCAGTCCGTTAAGCATCTGACTTCCGCTCAGGTCATGATCTTGTGGTTTATGAGTTTGAGCCCTGCATTGGGCTCTGTGCTGACAGCTCAGAACCTGGATGGAGCTTGCTCTGAATTCTGTGTCTCCCTCTCTCTCTGCCCCTCCTCTGCTCACACTGTGTCTTTCTCAAAAATAAACATTAAAAAATTTTTGAAAGAAAAAAATAATAAGGAAATCATACACACACACACACACACACACACACACACACACAATTAAAATTAAAAAAGAAAACAAAACAAAACAAAACAAAACAAAACCCTAACTAGTTACTGCGAACTTCACACATTGCTCTGGTCTCTCAGAGCTTGGAAGTGGCAAATGCAAATAAGGAAACTTGAAGCTAAGGCTATTTCCTTTATAGTAACTAACCTCTCTCTGATGCTAAGATTGTAATGCTTTCCAGTAGAGACCTAACTCCTTTATTATAATACTTCCCACTAACATTCTACCTTAGCACAATGGTATCAGCCATCATGACTGTTGATTAAATCATGTATTTCAGTATAAATTGCAAAAGAAAGTTACTTAAATTTGATAATTTCTTCTTTATGAGCTAGATTTCATTTTTAAGAAAAGTGACTTTCGAAGTTATGCAATGATCCTAAAATGAATTCCTACCAGAAAGATAGTAAAATGTGTATTTCTTTACCATTAATCTATTTTCAGAGTAATGAGTTGATGTTTTAGGGAACACTAGTGATTTTTGTCATTTTGATATGCTACTTTTTTCTTTTCATGAATGTCTTTATGAACTCATTTTCTATACTTAAAGAGATTTAATCAATTGTATAGTCATTTAAAAAAAAATTCAAACTATCTTATATTCGCCTATAAGTTTCTATTAAAACTAACTCTTGGATCCTCCTGACATGACTCTCTTAATTTTGAATAGCCATGTTTTTTTCTGGTGTAGTAGTATGCACCAGATCTATCTTGTGAATTTTCTACCCCAAACACAGAAACAGTTATCTCCCCAAGGCAAATTCAGCCCCCCTTAATTGGATGAACTGTATTAAAGACAACAATTTTGACATTGGGACAGCTTTTATATCATTTGTAGAGTGGTGTCTCCTGATTCTTTACAAAAATTACATCTCAAGTTATACCACACTATAACAAGTAAAATGATTGCTTACAGTCTACTCTGATATCATTATTTTATTAAACACAATTTGGATGTATTTTTCTTTTGAATCTCACAAGTCTTGCATTTGTAACAGGACCCCTAACTCACTGTTTTCATCTAAAAGGACCAAGGATTAATACATTGGTTTAAAAACTGATACATCTTTTATTACAGAGTCACAAAACAAAAATATCTTCTGAGCTTACTAAATATATATAAATCATATATGGTGATACATACAAATTATGTGTATGTATGTGCCTCTGTCCAACATTTTATACACAATTCACTCTGTACGCATGGCTGAATAAATAGATATCATTATTATACTCAGCTGCAAGGTACTGTTTCCTTATTTCTAATGACAAGTCCTATAACAAGAGAAAATCAAGGATATTTCTGCACATAAAGCCTATAGCATTTTTCCAAAAATCTTTCCCTCCAGGGCTGAATTGTTCAGAGTATACCAGTATGCATTATGAAATCATTTCTTCAATTATAAATTTGGAGAAACATAAGTTTTACTTTCAGTGGGTCAAAAGGAAAAGGGATTAATCTTAAAAGATCATTTCTGAGACTGTGTTCAGTATTCCCCACCTTTCATGTCATCCGTATGCCTATTACTCAAACAAGTGGGCTACTGTCGTGGGGACCTATGGTGGCAGCATTGGTGCACTGCTTCAGCTTTATACACAGTAATTACTTCTACTTAGAATCTGTGGCATTGGACAGTGAGTGCCTGTCATGTCTGTCATCTAGCTTGCCCTTAATTGGAAAAAATGATGGATCGATGGAAAGACAGGAGGCAAGAAGATGGACAGAAAGATGGAAAGCAGCAAATAAAAACAGCAGAGCACAGATTAAAATATATGTTAAGCTTTGCAAACACTGCAAGAGGCCAGACAGCTTGAAAGATGCTTATGTTCAGTTTACAGATTTATGACTTGCTCTGTCCAATATTCATGAACACAGAGAGTATTTGCCTAAGGCATGATACAGTGCTGAAGCATTAAAACTGACAATAATTGCCTAACACAATGAACAATACAATTATAGACTTTTGGCCATTTTATCTATTGAATTCAAGATACATTTACTACTCTTAAATGTATCTGTATGTACAGAAATGCATTCATCTGAAACAAAGGTCAGTTGCCTAGAAGATTTTCTAATCTTTTTATCTCTTAACTAATGCTGTTTTTTTCCCCTTTCATTTTGTTTATAGCATGTAAATTGCAGTTTTACTTAATTCAACAGATCCTTGACTAATTGGCTGTCAGTTTCATTGTGAATGCTATATTCAATAAGCCACAATTATAAATCCTTAATAGAGCTCCTATTATTGAAAGGAAGGTGAACGCAAACAAACAAAATAACACTATATTTTACATTTAGCCAAGATTATTGTCCCTTTGCAGCAAGGTTTTCAGATGATAAAAACAACTGATGTCATATTATTTATCCCCATGTATTTTTTTTTACAGAGCTGGGAAATAACATTCAATTGTCCTGTGGGCCAATTTCTTTGCAGATGTGTAAACATATTCAATTTTTCAATTAAAAAGATTAAAAGAAGAAAGAAGGAAACAATTTGTATTGGCTGTATATATCCCTTTCCTGCTAGACTGTACTCTTGCCTTCTACTCCACAAATTTCTTGAATAAGCTGTCTGCATATAAAATTTTTTCAAACCATCATCCAAACACTACAGTTAATTTTAACTACAATCTGGCATGGCTTGTCTTCTTCTCCTAAAAGTTTGGGACCCCAGAAAACCTTCCATTGCCAAATCTAAGGGTCACGTATGTCACTGCCGGATATCTTACAGGAAATCTCCCTGCTTGACTTTTCTCAAACTACACTCCTCTGGCTTCTAGTGCATCAGCCCACTCTGGGCTTCCTTCTAAAAATAAACAGGATTGTAGTAATAAATCTTTTTACTCCTTAGTGATGGTGTTCTCACACTCATGCAGCCACACTCTTTCTCTCCCTTTGTCTTCCTCATGTTAAAATGCTACCAATCTTGTTAATTGTTTTTCACAAGCAAAAAAATTTGTCTCTGTTAATTATATTTATATTGAATATTTTTATTTCATTGACTTATACTCTTATTATTTATTATTTGTTTGTTGCCTAGGGAGAGTTAATTGTTTTGAATTGTTTTGGCTTAACATAGTCAGCTGTTTTCATCTAAATTAAGAGCAGGAAGAAATGCTGGATTCTTTTTCGTGTTTATTTAAATAATTAAAACTTCTATTTTTCTCATTCCTCCCTTTACATGGGAGTTCCAGTGGGTGGTGTTTCTCCTCAGCCTGAAAAACACCATTTAGTATTTCTTTTAATACAGTTCCACTGGCAAAAAATTCTCTCAGTTTCCATTTTTCTGAATGTGTCATTTGTCCTTGTTATGACTGGATACTTTGTCTATAGCTTTCTGGGGTCTCTTAGTTATTTTAAGCTATATTACATGTTAAAATCTAGAAAATTCCCAACCATTCTTTTAAAATAATTTTGTGAGCAGTTAGGCAATATGACCCACCACCAGCCTCCTGGTCTCAGACAAGGAACTGGAGGACCTATATAAGATCACAGAGAAAGCAGGGCTTGAATATAGGTCACAGGAGATATGCTATGTCCCTGCCAAATATGGTCAGAGTCCACTGCAGGAAAAATTCTTGGCTTTTACAGTCAATCTTGTCTGCTGGTTTGCCCATGTGTCCCAGAGGCTATTTGCCATGAGATACATTGTAAAAGTTGAGTCAATTTCTAAGAACTTCTCCTGACTCTCTATCAGGCTCACTTTCCAGCCCCTCACCACACATGGTGGACTGGAAAGTTCCCCCCTCTCTCCTCCTGTATTTTTTGTACATAAGCTTCTTATCACACACAATAAACGGTTCCCAGTTTACAAACAAAACACAAAATAAGCAAAGAAAAACTTTTGCATTGGCTTAAGGTTATAGCATAACTCTAAAAAGTGATTTCAAATTAGAATCACGTTGAATTTTTAATATAATTATGGAAATATCAACATTTTTATAAACATGTATGTTTCCATCAAACAATATCGTATGTTCCTTCTTTTTGCTTTGGTCTTGTTTTATATCCTTCAATAAAACTGTATTGGTTTATTCATAAAAGTTAGGTACTTTTCCTCTAAGTTTATTCCAAAGTATCTTACAGCTTTTCCACTGTGTTAATGGATTTTTTAAAATTCTGTTACTACTTCTAATAGGAAGACCAAGTAATAAATTATTTTTTGCATCTGTTCAATCGCTCTTTATCCATTATTACATTTTCTTTTTTTCCCATTATTATATTTGCTAAGAATTTATTTGAGTCTCTTAGTTTTTTAGGCATAAAAATCATGTCTTCAAAAAGATATATATTCTCTCTCTTCATTTTTTTATATTTATAAAAACTATTTCAATGTACCTTATTAATTGCGACAAAACTTAGAATACTGGATGATAATGTGGATGTCATTCTTCTCTGTCTTTATCCTAATTTTCCTTGGTGAAGACTTTAAAGTTCCCTTACCTAAAGTGGTGCTTGCTATTAAAATTTGATAAATGATTTTGATTGCAATTACCATTTTGCTTAGACATTTTATTATAAATTATTTTTAAATGCTACCAAGAAATTTGTGTGCACATGAGAAACAGGTACTGATATATTATTTAATGGATATAATGAGATGTACTGATGGCATTCCAGGTATTGAGCTAA